ACAAGTACTGTCTCACGGCATCCGCAGTACCCTGTAAAGCACCAAAACCAAATATCCCAACTCAAAAACCAATAAAAACAAAAAATCCAAGCTCAAAAACCAATCAAAACCCGATTTCTAACACAACCCCACATTTGAAACAAGCTTTTTAATCACCTGAAACCAATTGGGATTCTCAGGGCTCTGCTGGGCAGCAAGAACCTCAACAAAGCCTTCATTTTTGTAGCCACCCATATTAGTAGCATAAGCACGAGAAAGATGGCGATTGAGCGAAGCGGAATTGAACTGGGTCAGCACATAGATCTTGGACACGTTGCTGTTGAGGCAATTACTGACTGGGATATCGATCAGCCTGTAGTTTGCTCCCAATGGAACAGCAGGCTTCGCACGCTTCTTGGTCAATGGGTAAAGCCTCGTCCCAGCTCCCCCACCCAGGATAATCCCCAACACACTCTACACATTAACACAAACAAAATTCCCAAAATTTCAATCCAAACAAGAACACATTATGCGAATGCATAGAAACAAAAACACCAAATGCGACAGAGAGGGAGAGAAATGAATCACTTACCCGGCTCGCATCGGGATCAAGACACGTCTGGGAGTTCTTGGAATCGGAAACAGCCTTCGGAGAGACAACCAGCGGCGGGACTCTGTGAGTGGGGCATTTCCTCATACAGGTGCTGGGGGCGGGGATTTTGGTCCCGGAGAGATGAGAGCCGCTGAAGGAGAGGCGGCTGATGTTCTGGGTTTGCTTCGAGTTCGGCAACACCGATCGCGACGTGAGCACTCCGCTCGCTGCCATTGCAGAGGACGCCATGTAACAAGAAATTTTGAGAGTTGCAGAGGTTGACAGTGGAGTGTTTGGGACTAGCAGCTGAGATTTGATGATATTTCGGGACCCTTTACCCTTTGCATCTTAGTGTTAATTACGCAACGCAACGCCAAATCTGAGAGCATGGGAGTGAGGGTATTATGGACCTTTTACAAGATATTAACTTTACTAGTTATTCGACGGTAGTAAAGGAGTACAAAAAAATCTGCAGAAATCGCGAGTATTTAAACAAGTGGACATCATTAAAAGTCAGGTAACGGTGGATGCATCAATGGAAGAGTGACACGTGGCATTTGGGTTTTGGCCTAAGATTTTGTGTCACATGTCACCACTTTTGTTTACCACCGTCTATTTTTTCGTTATATGGTTATAAAATTGAGATGTTAAATTATGCCAACCCTTCAAACTCACAAAGGACGATCTTTGTTGACAGTCTTAGCTAGGGGTTGTGATTGGTTGGTAGCATATATTAATTTACAGTGTTGGATATTGAAGATATACCGTTTTTGATATGGTGTAAATATTTGATCGATGTTAACTAAGTAGGATTACTTTTGATCATATAATATGCTATACGTTTTGAGATCTACTTACACTTGATGTCTTTGCTGTGATAAATATTTCATATCAATAATTCCTTGTGATGTGACAAAGTTATACACATAAAAATACGTTATTAGTAACTGAGGAAAACGATGGTCTCATCTTGCTAGCTTGGAGAGAGGAAGCCTCGAGATCGCATCTTCTAGCCAAATAGGGAGCGATCACTCAATAATGAACACTAACATGTGCGAGACAATATTTTCTCTTAGAGATGTTATATTCACACCTTTCAAATTATTTTTCCCACACCCTTTTTTATTTTTTAATATTTTTATATCAAGTGCTTCCGGTGTGTATGATATAAAAAATATATATATTTAAAAAAGTAAAAAAGTATGAAAAAAGTAATTTGGGAAAGTGTGAATATAATCGCTCATTCTCTTATCACTATAATGAGTTGTTGGAATTCCAAAATTAGTCATCTTCCACTCCTCTTCTTAGATAAATAAAAAAATAAAAAAAATAAAAACAAAAACAAAAAACAAAAAATATGTGAACACAAAATAACTACTTTGAAGCTCTGATCATGGGCGGATCCACTATGAAGCCTTGGAGGGGTGGATTACCCCTCAATATTTTTTTTAAAGATAATAATTATACAGTTTTGCTTCCCAATGACCACCCTAATTAAACTACAATTGAAAAAATGGGTAGACAATTAAAATAATTCTACCGTTTGAATTCTCCAAAGGCCCACGTGATGGCAATTAAATTAATAATTAATTTAACTGCGGCTTGCTCAGTTTTATTTTAAGGATTTCTCTATAAATGACCTGGAGATACTTAGGATTTCTCTATATAGATTAATATATATATATATATATATAAGTGTTCAATAAGTTCTTAAGCTTTTGAAGTGTGACTTTGTTATTTGAGGATGTCCTATACATACAAATCTCTTGACTTCGTCCTTTTAACTCTGACAGTGAGAGAAATTCATTATTACTATATGTTTACAAATATCCATTTTGGCATATAGATAACAAAGGAAAAGAAATATGTGGAGAATATTCTATCACCAAACCAATGAGTAGGGAAAGGGGCGGATCTATTCGATGGCTAGGGGGTGACTGGGGATTGACAGGTTGGGGGAATAAAATGACATACTACCATTGGCTAAATTCCAAATTGTTATGACAAGTGACAACCACAATTTGTATAGACTTGAGTAATATATAAATAGTTTTACAAAGTGCAAGTTGTTGTTTTGCGGTGGACATATTTACTTCCCAGCCATTTTACCGACATCTAAACGTAGATGTTCTTTCAGTACCAATTTTTCCACTCAAATTGCAAAAATGGGTCTACTATTTCAGTTTCTATACAGTCAGTATATGTGGGTACATACATCAAATATTCGGTGAGTTATTATATTTTAGGGGTTCATTCTCCGATTTATTAGAGATTTATTTTGTCTCTATATTTATTTTATACTCATTTTATATGGTGATTGTCCTTATTTAAGCACTCCACTTTAGATGCTTTCAGAGCTTCACAAGTTCAAACTAAAATAATGGATTTGCCTCCTTCCAAACACATAAACCAAACAGCCTGCAGCAAAGGATAACATGATAAAAATTATAAAATTTCATCCAACATTCCCTGTGCATGGTTTTGTTATTTTCTACAAACGAATTTATTTATTTGACCCGAATTTCAGCACAAAACAGTCAGATAATGTATATTCTCCCTGAGAAATAAAGACAGGGTCAGGTCAACCAGATCCCATGCCAAATCAGCAGACTGTAGCTCAACAACCAAACCCTAAATTCTGTTACTTTTGAGTCAAAAATGGTCAATGTATATGAAGTTAAGAACTAACGAGTCCACGATCGACCAGCCCATTATTGTAACCAACAAATGTGAATAAACATTCACACGGACAAGATATGGTGAGGATGATTTGTACTACTAGGCCAGGCATCATAAGCCACATAATTAAGCAACATTTGACGTCCACTAAATTAAAGTTGTTGGGCTGAAATAGCCAACCCAAACCTACAGGCCAGGCAGGGTTTTATCTTGGTCGAACCGTTCGTTTGACACGTATACTCTAACCAATACAATGCTCAGTGTAGATCAAACTTTAAATATATTATTTTAGATAAATTAAAACCTGCTGAAAAATGTCTCATGGTCTGACTGGCTGTATAATATGCCATTTCTCATGCGGTGCCTCCAAACTTCAATTTCATGTTCAATTCATAAAAAAAAATAAAAAAAAACAAGTTTTTATCATTAACGTGTGTGACAGTAGGTTTGGCATCTTGAAGAACAAGATTCTTGGGATGAAGATTAGCTTTTATCTCACATTTTACTTGGAATGCAACTGCAAAATCTTCAAAATCAAATGCGCAAGCAAGACTAACTCATTGATACCATCATGATAATAACAAAGAAGAAGAAGAATCACAAAAGCAGAAGAAAGAAATGAAAACTTAGAGTAGAATAAATCATTTGTATTTCTTAGTAATTGCTTTGTTTTCAACTTAATCAATGGTACAAGATTAACTTAATTGGAGGATTGAATCAAAGTTGTGGGGGAGTATGAGTGAAAAGCTCCAAATCATGGCTCAAATGCCCCAAATCAAATGTGTAAATTAAACCTTGAACAATGAGCATGTTTTACACCATTTGTAAAAGGTGGGTTGCTTCACCGTTCCCTAACATGAATTGGGGCCATTGCAGGTGTGGAGAATATATATTACTATATATTAATAAAACTATAAGATATCTCTAATGTACTAGAAAAGTTATACTCATATATGATTCAAGTGCAAAGTCATATTTGACATTTAATATAGCTCTAAACATTGGATTCTCACCACATAAGATACAAAAATTATATTTGTCTCTAAATTTGACTAGACTCCTTCTAATTTACAAGAGTTAAAGTTAAAAGTCAAATTTGATTTCATATGCATTGCAGATAAAATAACTTGCAGCACCACATTTAGAGTCAAATATGATTTCATAACTTTTAACCTTCAAGTTTTAGATTGGAAATACAATCTAGTGGCATTCGTTTTCAATTGACTATTGTGAATGTCAATTTCTGTAATAAATCCTTTATTAATCTTAGTTTAAATAAGTCGTTGTTACATAAAAAATGACAAACTCTACGGGTCAACTTTCAACAAAGAATATATGACATAAGTAAAAATACTAGAATCTCAATTTCTTGGTCACTCTCCTGCGTGATACTAAGAGTAGAGGTTAAAATACTAAAAGCATATCTATTTATTCTTCATTCTTAATATCAAATCTAAAAACAAGTAACCATGCGTTCATTGATCACTGGTTACCGAGATAATCGTGAGGGCTCTGGACTCAAGTCACCTCCCTTTTCTTTCTTTCCTGGCTTTCTGAGCGTGGCTATTGCCCCCTTTTTCTTTTTGTTATTTTGTATTGGTTACATTTGATTACTCCTTCGACCTTTAGGTAGGTTTGCTTATTGAATCCTCTTCAGTAAATAACAAGGCTTTGCCCAACTTTGCATTTATGTTGGGAATATGATACCAATATTCCAGCGGAGGTTGCGTGTCCAGCTGATCCGTAATATTATTCCAGGAAAAGCAGCCCATGCACCTCTTCATTTCTAAGTAGCTTCCCACTTTCCCCCATTTTCTTCTTATTAGTTTGCCAATGCAATCCTTTGTTTTATTTGCATACTTAATAGAGTTTAATAACTAGCTACCTGCAGTTTGTTGGCTTCCATTCCTTCCAATCCGTAAGTAGTAATTAGACTACATTAATTTCATTGCTAAGTTTTTGTTTGTTTAGATACTACATATGATATGCTCCACCGAATCACAGGTGGAACATGGCACAAGGTCTTTGGGAGACCATGGCACAAGGTGTTTCGGCGGCCATGTCACGCGTGTTTCATCCATTAGTGCCCAATACAAGCACAGGTGCGTCTGTCCCTCCTTGCCAAAAGAACAGGGAAAAAATGAAAATCCTTTCCTATTTCATTATCTAATTAAATAATCGTCTATACTTTTTTCTTAAGAAAATGCTAAGATACTACGTTTTCATGCTACATTTGTGTGTCATCTAGTATTTAAAATATCGATATAGGTGGAAATATTAAATAAAAATTTATAAAAATATTAATATCGGTTGCCTTTAAAGAAAATGTCGAAAATTTGTTAAAAAACTTAAGAATTTAAAATAATACTTTAAGGAATGTCATATCAAACCACAATATATGTATTAATAAAAAAAAATTAATGATTACATAACATGTCCATCTTTTGCGCAGATAAGAGATTCAAGGAGTCCTTATCCCACAAATCTTTTTTCTTACCGAATCTTATCCCACTGATGTACAATTCAAACATAATATATAACTTAATTCAAATGAAAACAATATCAATAGAAAAAATCATTCCAACACATTTAATCTTTTTTGTCAAACAATAGATTTGTTAGATTATGGAGTCGATGAGGTTCGAACTTACGCCGTAGTGCAAAGGCAACTCTCATCTTCACCTTTGTCCGCAGATGTGCGCAATTTTAGTTCCATGTAGAAATATAAATCCTTGAATTAATTTGATACAATGTACAAATCTAACTCCTTGAATTAATTTGGCGATTTTGGTTCTGATTTTGTCTCATTTAGTCTCAGTTCACTCCCATTGATTTCGATGACATGAGACTAAATGAGACAAAAAATTGCAATTTCAGGGGCAAAGCGAGACAAAACCAGTTTCAAAGAGTAAAGTAAGACTAAATGGTAGTTTCAAAGAGGGGGGGGGGGGGGAATCAATTAATAAGCCAATAATTTATTGTTACATATATGTACTAGCTTTTAGGGATTACGTGACTCTTTTTCCAACGTTACATCTTCAAAATTGGTATGCTCCAATACTAATGTCGTTTTTTGTATCCATATAACTTTCATTAAGGATATCTAAGTCATTTTATTAAGGGTAAATCTCAGTTTACTACCCTCAAGTTTTGTGGTTTTCAACATTTAGTACATGACGTTTTTTTCGTCCCAGAGTCATACCTAAAGTGTTAATTTTAGGATAGTCTCGTACATCCGTTAGTCTGGTTGTTAAGTCTCCTGTTAACTGATGATGTGGCGTCTATGTGGATAATGACTGGCTGTCACGTGTCATTAAGGGGTCCACGTGGAAATTAAAATTTCAAAAAAAAAAAAAAATTCTCACCCAAATTTAAAATATTAAAATAATTAATTAAATAAAAGTCTTAAAAATAATAATAATAAAAAATAAAATAAAAAGAAGAAGAAACCCAGAACCCCCTTCGTCTTCCCCACCCCGTCCATCCCCTCCACCCTGTCCACGGCTCCACCCCTCCATCCCATCCACCCCTCACCCACTGACACCCTTCCCCTTCCCTAATACCCACCCTTACCACCAAGCCTTTTCTCCTTCCCCAAAAACCTAAAATTCACATCGCCGATATCTCATATCATATGACCTCTAGCGAATGGTAGCACTTACCATATCCTTACTCTCAATCCCTCTAAACCAATCCCAGCTCTTAGATCAGTGATATTCAACACACCTCTGCGCAGTTTGCCACCGAGTCTTGGATCTAGATCGGAATGATCCAGATTGGCATGGGATAACAGTTGCATCGATGGAAAAGGATGACGAGATCTTGTCACTGGCGTCACAGAGGCAGAACGGTCGGATTACAGTGACAGTGGTGGTGCCGCCGACTCAGAACAAAACCCTAACCCTAGCTTTCCTGTCATCAAGTAAGCAGCAAGGGCGAAGCAGCGATGGAGGAAGGGAAGATTGCTGGAGCAAGGGGCGACAGTGGTGTTGATCAAGGTGTGGGGGGAGAGGTACTTGGAGCTGAGCGATGAAAGAAGGGAGGGAGGTAGGGGGTCAGGGGTTGAGGTAGGGCCCAAAAACTTTTTTTTAATTTTTTTAATATTTATGTGGGCCCCTATGACACGTGGCACCTAGTCACTGTCCATGTGAGCGCCAAGTCACTAGTTAACGTTTGTTTTAACAGCAAACTTAATGGATGTATGAAAGTGTCCAAAATTATGACTTTATATTCCACTTTGGGATAACAAAAACTTCATGTATTAAATGTTAAAAACAAAAAAAACTCCAAGGTAGTAAACTGAGATTAACCTTTTTTTTTTTTTTTTAAATACACCTTTATTAAGTAATAATCTTCCTATACTTATAAAATTGGTTTTGTCATAACATTATTACTATACAGAGATTTTACTGTAAATGAGTCTCCTGCAATCATATTGGGATCACTTTTCCCTTGCACAATCCCACACACTTAATCAATCTTGAGCATTGTAGTAAAATGTAAATGATCTCAAGGACATATAATGTGTAATTATACCATAAATTTTATAACCATATTCATATTCATATTCACGTGCATTTAGCATTATTTTTTATTGTTTGAAGGGTTTTTAGCCAAAATGGTCCTGGAGATTTGAATGACTCATCATTTTGGTCCCTAAGATTTGAAATCGATAGAATTGGTCCCTGAATTTATCTACAAATAATTATTTTGATCATTCCTTGAAAAATCTCCATAAAATAAGGATAACATAAAAAAAATATCCTCAAATTTTGTCAAATCATTTTGGCCTATTATTTATTAAATTGAGGGTATTTTTTTTTTTTTTATCATTTTGATTCTTATTTAACATGATTTTTCACCAAATAACCAAAATGATTAATGATGGATAATCTCAGGGACCCACTTCCATTGATTTTAAATCTCAGGGACCAAAGTTTGCAAATCTCAATAACTATTTTGGCTAAAAAGCCTTGTTTGAACATATTTAAACTGTGTATTTAATTAATGACATGAATGATTTCTTGGTTTTCTTTGTGATTAAATTTCAGTGCTCTATTTTCCTAAAACTTTGGAGTGTTAATCACAATGATCCCATATAATTTTTCTAGTTGTCATATAATTCCATATAACTTCATTAAAAAGTTAAATAACAAGGAACCCTTAACATTATCTTCCATCGTTTCTATGATTGAAGTTTAACTACAGAATAGTTCATGCATCAAACTAAACTAGTATGGGGAAATTAACAATAACAAACACGATAAATTTGACAGGATTTGAATGTCAGTGTAAACCTTTCTTTGAGGCTGTGCAAGCTGGCCGTTGGGAAACTGCAAAGGACTTTTACATCCAACATCCTGAGGCAGTAAGAGTAAGACATCCATCTTCGGGGAAGACAGCTCTTCACATTGCAGTTGAAGCTGGGCATGTGGATATTGTGAAAGAATTGGTGTCGTTGATGGAAGAGGGCGACTTGGAAATAAAATCAACACAGGATGGTCCGACAGCTCTTGCTATTGCTGCAATTAAAGGGATTACCGAAATGGCTCAATGCATGGTAACAAAGAACGAAAAATTAATCGGCATTCCCGATTCAAACAACGAACTTCCAATTGTGTTAGCTTATTTGCTTGGGCATTGGCATATGGCTCGATATCTCTACTCCGTCACTCCACTTGAAGATTTAATGCCAGACAAAGGACCTCATGGCGCTACAATAATCTCCAATTGTTTTACATCCAAAGAATTTGGTAAAAGTTTTTAAATATGAGTAATAACATGTTGTTGAGGGTTCGTTTGATAATCATTTTAGTTGTTTGGTAAACTACTTTCAATTTTCTAAAAAAAAAAAAAATGAAAACTGAAATTAAAAGTTTGAAAACTATAAAAAAAAATTGCCTTCAATTTTTATTTTTTTGAAACTTGAAAACTAAATGTAGTTATCAAACAAGTTTTTGGTTTTCAAATTAAAAACGTGATTACAAAAACTAAAAAAGAAATGGTTATCAATTCGCAACTTGAAAAATAAATAGCTTATTCTAGCTACAGTTGACTCTTTTTTCCCATAGCTACAAATTACTATAGCAAACTAATTATTTCTGGAAAATTTGTAACGTTAAAAATCAATAGATATCTCATGGGATTTAATTCATCGTTGCCCAAAATTGACTGTTACTCGGGACCGCCTACAGTTGACCCCTTTAGAATATTTAGCTAGGGACGCTTCTTCATTCCCGAGCGGAGCGAAGCTCAGTTTCTGGCAACAATGGGTTTACAACTGTTAGTGTACCACAGACTCCCTTCTCTTTCTATTAATTATTTTCTTTCACTTTTATATGACATATTTTCTTGTCTTGATAGGTCTATACATACAACCTCCTCCTCGCATCAATCATATCCGTGTAACTGTTCAAAATGAAGAAAATCCCCAAGCTAATAACGGAAGGAGTTTAATTCGCTCAGGTTTGCTATCCCCTTCCTCTCCCATCATTAACAAGTTAAAAACGTTGTATAAATGGTACGATCTCAAGTATAACTCACATAGATGACAAGTTCAATACTTAATTACTATGACTAATCCCTCCCTAACTTGCTAAATTTGTAGAGATTATTAGGAGAGTTTTCTTCATTTGTGGAGATTAGTGGGAGGATAAGTGCATGTTTGGTAATGTTGCAAAATAATTTTTCATTTTACGGATACAAAACGAGTATAAAATGCGTTTGACATGTTTTTATAGACCCATAAAATGAATAGCATAAAATACAATCATGATTACCCTTTTTGACTTTATAGCACTTACTGACTAGAGAAGATGATTGCATGATTTGGATTCCCCATGCCACAATCATCTTTCGAAAATATTGATCGCACCTGTGACTTTACCAGGTTATATCAATACCTGAGAAGAGAGGCCGATCATAAGCTTCAGGAACCTGTGAAAAAAGGAAAATAACAATAATGAATTTGAATTTACTACAATTTTCTCTAAGACCCTGCTTCCTATAAATAAGTACTCTATTTAAAAATTCAATTCTCATCGTTAGCTGTTTAACCCATTAAAAAAATAACAACACAACAAAACCTTTTCCCATTAGGTGGGGTCAGCTGTGGGGTGATGCAACACGATGACTTCCCAGGAGGTCATCATCCTAGTACTATTCTCGTCCAGACTCGCTTAACTTCGGAGTTCTGATGAGATCCGATGCATGTTAGTTGGTATGATCACATCCCAAGGATTCGACATAAGATAGGAGTGCCGGGTGTTAACTACCTGACGCCCTCTTCCTCCTCCTTTATCCGAGCTTGGGACCGGCAAATGTAAGATAAACTTACAGTTTAACCCATTGAAAAAATAAAAACTTAAATTAAGAAACAGTTGAAAAGATATGATATCAACACCTTTAGCAAAAGTAAGGCCAAATCCCTTCGAAGAGATATGATATCAACTACCACATATTCCAGTGATGTTCAAGGGCCAAAACAAAAAAAATGCATTACTACCAAAAAAACCTCAATGCATTACTCACAGGCGTTGGACCCCAATTTTTCATGCAATGAAGCTCACTTTACCACATTCCCTTCTTGCCTATAACTTTTAAGATTCCCGCAACTTTTTATGAATTGAAAAATAAAGCTTTTACAGGACATATTTGAAAGAAAACGTGACGAGCTAAGAACAATATATTGAAAATAGATAAACAACTTATGTCTCTGTGGAACATCTTTGTTTGCTTTCACCTCCGCTCCACCTGCATATATATGTATGTACACACACACACACACACAAGCATCAAATCAATGTTCACACTCTTAGCATCTAGGTAGAACAGTAATTACACCAAGAAAACTTGACTCTTCAACAATCCAATTGATGTTGTATTGCAATCTATACAACCAGTGACAGATTAAAATAACAAAACAGCAACAAAAAATCCTAATTCAAATTGAAGCAGTGTAAAATCGAGATTGAAAATGCAAAAATACACAAAACTCGCGCTATAACCACCGGCTCGACTTCACCGCCAGCTCCGGCCTCATCACACACATCGACGCCACTCCAACTCCGTTCTTCGCCGTCCCGCCTATCCCATACCTACAAAACACACAAAAGCCGATCAAAATCCTTACATTTCTTAGATCTGAAATTGAGGAAATTTGGTTACGAATTTGTAGAAACTAGCCTGGGGTTTGGAAAGTGATATGATCCAAATCTCTAACCCCTTAATTAACCTGCAAGTCACAGAGGATAGAGAGGGACCGAGAGGGAAGGAAGAGAGAGAGAGAGAGCAGAGCTCTTGAATTGTTTTTTGGTTTTGTATTTCTGTTTGTAAATTCTGATCTCCTTACAAACCAAAGAGCAAGTGCTCTTATACATGAAGTGTGACTACTGCCAGCTGGCATTTCTAATTAATTTCCCTAATAACAAGTAAGACCCTCAATTATAACTAACTTGACTCTTAATTTGTGATTAAGATAATCACAATCCTCAGTTCATAACAGAGAAAGGGTGGGAAAAGGATTCTGAAGGTATAATTTGACGATCATTGGTGACCGGTGAACAACAGCGTTGTTGCGTGAAAGAGAAGAGGGAGCTAGGATGCAGGAGGGATTTCTTCGAGGGGGAGAGAGGAGAGAGGAGAGAGGATTAATAACTTTTTTTCCATAATTTTTTAAAATTTTATTTTACACAACAGGCATGATATTTTTATACAAAATTTACATAATATTTAAATATACTAAACGCAAGGGCCATGTTCCGTCAAAAAGTAATCAAGCCATAGTATACATGTCTCACTTCTCAGTTCTCATGGTTCCCGTGGCCGAGACAATGTACTATCAAGAAATGTAAACTTAAATGTGTGAGGTCTAACGACTCTCATATTTATAACATGTTTACGTACCCATAATCAGAAATAAAATACGAAATTAATTTCTAATTACGAAACACTTCTTTGTTTACCTAACATGGAGGAATTAAAATTTATGTGGGTCCCATCTAAATTCTGGAATCCAATTCTTGTTTTTGGAGGATTTGGACTTCCTATATGAGGGAGGGATTTGGATTCCGAAAGAAGTGGGTAATCGGAATGGACTTGTTTTACCAATTGTGTCATCAGTTGGTTTTTAGTATTCCAACATGGCCCTTCATCTCACCAGAGAGACATTGCTCAGCTCTGCAAATTTTTCATCCCTTCACCACCGCACCCTCCCCCGTCCAGGGCCACATCTCATGCCCACTGCAACCACTCGCAACCATCTCTCTTTGTTTGTCTCTAGAGAATTTTGTAATCAGAACACTGGAAGTGAGTGAAAGAGTTATGGTGTGGTGGTGGCTCAGTTCTTTATCAGGAGTTGCCTGAGATGCATTGGAGATAGAGTGTTACGGTGGGAGAATAGAGAGTGTGGCGGTGGGGAATAGAGAGAGATGGAGAGTGCTACGGTAATAGATAAGTTTGACAAGTTTTTTTTTGTTTTTTATTTTTCTCTTAATAAGAAATTAATTAATGTTTTCTATTAATTAGACTATAAAATAACTTATTTACTAATAAAAAAAGAGTAATAATAATTTATTTGAAATGCATAGGAAAAAAAATGAATAAAACTAATTAAAGTTTAATTATATACGAACAATTTAATTAGTATATAAAATAATGGAAAAAAATTAGACCATAAAATAATTTATTATGGAAATGGGCGTTTTAGTAATTATATTAATTTCTATTCCGATTGAGGTGAATTAGTAAAGAACTTATATGAACTCAGTTTCAACTTTAGTCCGATTCCATCCAATTTAAGTAAATAGTCTCAACAGGAATCTGATTCTGACTTTTTCTCATTCCAACTCCTCATCAATTCAGTTTCTTCTCAATCTGATTCCTTTTATTTTGATTAGGGTTACGTAAACGAGCCATTAATGGGATCCTAGAATAGGACTTGAGGCATGTTGGTTGAAAAGTCAACTATTGGTCAAAGGGGCACCTCTAGGGTTATGAAACCCTTCTTGGTCTACAAAGTACAAACATTGGATTTCCATTATACAAGTTCCGTTAGGTCGGTCGTACATCTAACAACATGCTCCATAAGTTTCACCAACATTTTTTCCATTGCAGTGGGAGGTTTAGTGGAACAGCTTGTTTCTTATTCAAAAAAACAAGAGGAAGGGCTTGTTTCGAAAATCGTTGAGATACTTGGTATGCTAGTAACAATTTTATTTGTTGTAGATTTGAATTCAAATCAATTATCCAAAACAGTTTATGTCCTCAACATTTGGGTTTTAAATGTCATCTCAAGAATCAAACGTATATATGAAATGAAGATTGTCCATGTCCACTCACTTGCATTTTTAAAGCTCATGTGCGAAGAGATAAATAAAGATTGGGATATGCAACAAATGAGTTCTCCCTATGTGCGTTCGGCAATCTTCCTAGCTGTTAGGAGGGGGAACGTGGAATTTGTTACTCATATGTGTAAAGCAAATCCTGAACTTTTGTGGGCAACAAATGAGAAGGTAAGGGGCATATTTCACGTTGCCATCGAATGTCGTCAAGAAAAGATTTATAACCTTATATATGGGATCTCTGCGAAAGACTGGGTGACAAATCTTGCCGATAGAGATTTTAATAACAAGCTACATATGGCTGGGTTGTTGTCCCCATCTGCACAAGCACAACTTAATCGTATTCCAGGTGCAGCATTGCAAATGCAGCGTGAACTACAATGGTACAAGGTTAGGATTTCTCACTCGACATAATTCTTGATTACAT